CGACACACAGGATCCCGGGGCTGCCAGGGGTCAGCTGGGCGCACAGGTGCCATGCTGCAGGCACCCCAGTGCCCTCGTTCAAGGCATCCTGCCATCCCCACCCCGGGCCAGGCGGCTGTGGGCACTCACGCCTCTGGCTGGAGGGGGGCCTGCACGGCCCAGAGCCCTGCTGCTCATCATCATTGTAACTAACGGCTCCTGAGCAGGTCCCTGCTCTCCAAGATGGTCTGTGTTCCTCTTCATGACACACTCGTTTAATTTTTAACTCACAAGGCGTTTGCTTATTTATTTTCATTGTTCTTGATAATAATTCTAAGCCATTAGAGGGGAAAATTATATTCAAAAACGCTGTTTCACACTTTATTTGTTTGATGATTTAGAGCGATAGAAAATAGCACATTTGCTGGCTTTTATAGTCTGATAATTATTCACATCCATCAAACCATTCCGGGGGAATAAACAAAACACCAAGAAAATGACACTATTAATAGCATCTTCCGCGGCGGACAGGAAGACTCTCCATAGCTGGTGAGTCAGTAAAATGGCGGTGGCCTGTCCCTTGGTCTGCAGGCAGCGTGGGCTGCAGAAGACGCCTCTCCTTTTAATTACCCAGCCCTGTCCGGCCCCAAGAGCCGCCCGTCTTGCCAGGCTGAGGCCTCCGCCTGCCCAAGCACCCGCCACCTGTCTGGCGTCACAGGCCCTGGAGTGTATTAGGCCCACCGAGTCTGTTGTGACCCAAGCAGGCAGAAGCCTCCTGATGTCTGGGGCCACACAGTGTTCCCAAGACGGCTCTGCCACCAGCTTGGGCTCAGGCCTGGCCTCCGCAGGGCTGGCGAGACCTCTCGCCCCTTGGCCTCAGTGTTAGATCAGGAACACGGGGTCGGTCGGATGGTGCACCTCTCTAGCGTCCAGGCTGCGCTCGTAGACAGGTCAGACCCCCCCTGTGTGTCGGGCTGCAGGGCTCGGATGTGATTGCTCACCGCTCTGGACCTGGCCTTGTGGGCAGGTTTGTGGGTTTCAGCTTTGGCTTCTTGGGGTGGCCGTGATCGGAGGGGTTGCATTCCCTCCGAGTACCTCAAAGTGTAAATGAAGGAGCAGGAAATACAGGGAAGGCTGGGGGATGCCCACTGTCCTGGAGTGGCCCATCTGGTCCCTCCCCAGACCTGGGTGTCACTTCCTTCAGGAACTCGGTGTCTGGGTGCGGGTCTGGCAGCTCACCATCACGCCTGAAGCGTGTTCCTTCTAGTTGGCCGGTCGTTTGAACCTTGAAACGGCTGGACAGTAGCAGTCCTTCAATCACAGCACCTCGCACGTCTTGTATTCTCACCTGGGGGGCCCAGGGCCTGGGGTCTCCCGTTGCCTCCCGTGTACCTTATTCTTAATCTAAAACTTTTATTTTCTACCTGGGGCCCCTGATGTCTGCAGACAACTGCCTTTCCAAAAAGGGCGTCTGGCAAATGATGCCTGAATCTGGCCCTCTCGGTCTTCTGGGCAATTCCACGGCATTAAACCGGGAGTTATGGAGCCTATCTGGTCCTGCTGCAGCCTCTGCAGGGTCACCTGGAGTGGTTGCCGGGGATACTGTTCCAACAGTGCCTACTTTTCCAGGACTTTCTGGTTTAGTGTTGCCCAGAAGTACTTAGTGTAGAACGTTCAAAAGCAGAGAGGACATGCAGAAGAGGAAGGGCTGGTGAAATACAGAGATAAAGACCCCAAGCGGAACACTGTGTAGAAAGTTCCAGACTCCTGCCCAGCCCACTTCAGGACCGGGACACACTGTGTGTCCCTCAGGCTGCCGCAAGCAAGGAGTCTGAGCGACCCCTCACAGGTGGCCGTTCCTTCTGCAGCCTTCCCCAGGCCCCCCCACGCCCCGCCCCTGCACTCCCCCATTTCTGGTTCTGCTCTCTGAAGCCTCCAGTCTGCTAGCCCTCTCACGGCTCACCAGGTTCCGGAGATTGTTCTGCCCACTTCCTTTATCCAGCTTCTCCGGATTGTTCCACCATGACTTGGGTGCTGGGGCCTCAGACCCAAGCCCAAGCCTGGGGGAGGAGCACGTTGCCAGGTGCCGTCTCGGGGTGGGACGTGGCTGGCCCTGGGGGAGGTGTTGCGCTGTTGGACCAAGGGGACGACATCAGGGCCGATGGGCAGCAGCTTGCGAGGGGAAGCCAGCCTTGCCGGAGGGGTTCCCTGACACTGGCCGAGAGAGGGATGGGGAGAGCCAGGGGAAGTTCTGAGAGGGCTCTGGGGTTGAGCGGGAGTGGGGAGAGTGGCTAGGGGTAGGCTTCCTGCTGGCCACCTGGAATGGACTGGACCAGAGCACCTGGGGAGACTATCTGTCCAAGGAAACCATGCAAGAACCCTTTGTCACCAGCCGACTGGGCTGCACGTCCAGAGGGGTTTGCAGGCCAGCCAAGTGGATTGATTTTGGCCGTGATGTTTAACCCTGTGATGGGGATGGAGGTCCTGGGGAGCGAGACAAATTGCCCCCATGTCGGTGACCAATACAACCGACTCTGTTTTATGGCCCCGAGAGCTCGCTCACTAATGGCCGGACAGCTGCTCCTGCCTTGGGGGTTGGTGAGCAGACATGCCCCACCCAGATGGCCGCGTGTCCCTCTTTTCTCCCCGAGCCAGGCCTGAGAGTCAGGGATGCCCCCTCCAGGTGGCGTGACGCGGGATGGGGCTGTGACCAGGGTGACGAGGCTCTGATGTGGGGGCCCCTTGGGGCCTGGGGGGACTTCTCTCCAGGGGCAAATGTCCGTCCCTGTTGGGAGGCTAACTACTTCTGTAGCCAACTCACCTGGGCCCCCGTTGCGGGGGGCCTCCCAGCGTACCCAGAGGGCCGTGGCATGGAGAGAGGGCTCCGTGGGAACCTACAGCCCACAGGGCTCGCAGACGTCGGAAGGAGCTGTACAGACGGAGCCTTCACTGACCTTCCGCTTTGGGCAGGTGGCCCAAGCTCGCTCAGAGCTGTGTGTCGGAAGGACCCACGCCCCAGTTCTGTTTGCCTTCCGCTGAGATCTGAGGCTTGCCTCTTGCCAAGGCCCCGGAGTGGGGGGTGGGCTGGGGGGCACATCGCTGGCGTTGGGGCTTCTCAGCACCCTGAGGCTGTCGCTGGGTTGTTGCAAGTGGTGGGAGGGCAGCTTTCCCTTGGCCGTTGGAGCCAGAAGTCCCTGTGGCTGTCGGCTCCCTGTCCATCCGTGCTTTATAATCCTTCCAGGGGCCGCTCTTCTGAGCGCTTGGCCCAGCATCCTGCAGTCTGTACTTTCCGATAACAGAGGAGCCACGTTTCAACATATTAAACTTTTAACATCCACCAGATTCAATTAATCTTATCTTTACAACTCCCAATTACAGGCGGTAATTAAGTGAAAGCAGCATTGTAGACTGGGGATATTGCATTAATCATCACAGCCTTGGAGCCATAAATTTGTTCCTCCTGTCCTCCGGCATCTTCCCAGAAGGACCGGAATGTTTCATTTCCTTGTTTGGGGGGGGACATTAATCCCACAAAGGTGCTTTGGATTGGGATTAACTTTTATCATCCTTATGTAAGTGATAAAAGGCTGTTTAAAGAAGAGTCACCTCATCTTTGTCCAGGCAGTGGAAAATTCTCCGGCGACAACTGAATTGAAGGTGCTGGGCGATCTCCTCCAGGGCCCTGCGGGTGTGCCCAGAAATTAATTATTTTTATCCTGGTAGATTAGAGACTGCCTTATCTTTTGGCCCTGCTCCCTTTTATTTTATTAAAAATAATAACCCTCTCGATTGGAATGGACTGAGCCAGCTGCAGAGTCTGGGCCAGCTTCCATGTCCTGGGCTATTTCTATCCTGCCTCCCGTACTGTGAGGGAGGGTGGAGGGCTTGCTGCAGCATGCGCCCCCATGTCTGACTTGTTCTAGAATGTGAGGTGTGCTGACGCAGGGTCTTTCCCTTGGGCACTGTGGACGTGGGGTGGGTCATTGCGCGGTGTCCCTGGGTGCTGTGGGGGCTGAGCAGCATCCCCGGCTCCACTCCCTCCACACTAGGAGCACCTTATCCTGCGGTCGTGACAACCACAGATGTCCCCAGACACGGCCCCATGTCCCCTGGTGGCAGGGTCACCCCCGGGCAGGAAGCGCAGCCCTGGAGTTTCTCCCGGACGGGACTCGGGTGTGCTGTAGTAGCTGTGTAGACAGTCTTTACTATGCCCCGTCCTTCTTGGGACAGACAGATGGCCCATGCTTAGAGCTTGGTGGCATTGTGGACCCACACGCCAGTTCTGCCCGCCTGTGCCTAAACACAGAGGTTTTCATCCTGCCCAGTCCGGGGTGGTGTGTCAGCTGGGGTGGGACCCTTCGGCACCCCCTGCCCAGGCTGTCCCCGTTGGGAGAGAGTCCCCGCTGTCCCAGCACGCCGGCTTCCGCACACAGTGTTAGTGGGATGTCGCTCTGGCTTCATCTGTTTGCAAACTTTCACTTTCCATTTTCTTATTTATGATGGAGCCTCAGAAATATTTCAGATGTAAAACGTATAAAAATAAAACTTAGGCAGTGGTGACAAATGAAGTGTTTCTCATTCCTGAGGCTTCTTCCCGGGTGGCTCCTGGGGCTGGGGGAGTGGGAGGCAAGGAGACTGCCAAGGGGGGTGGGGGGGGCTCCCTGGTCTCCTCTCCGCCCCCCTCCAGCCAGCCCCTCCCCTGCAGCTCCAATCAAGCACTCCAAAGTGCTCGCTTTTTTAGGTTTTGCTTTTTAAGCCTCATGGAGGTTTAGTGCCACTCAGTGGGGAGTGTGTCCAGCTTGGCATCCGGGAAGGCCATCATAGCCTGTGGGGGCCCCGGACCGTGGCCTTCTGGGTGGGTCCCTGCCCTGACAGCCTCCCTGCTGTCCTTCACCCTTTTCACAACACCCACGGTGGCTGTGGTTCAGTTCTGCTCTGAGGCCGTGGCCGCAGCCCTGGGGCCCCTCAGATGCGTGGTGGCCACACGACGTCGCGTCTGACATGCCTCCCTTCTCTTGTAGGTACGCCATCCCGCCCGAGCACGGCAAGCGCCTGGAGCGGCTGGCCATCGGTAGGTGTCCGCGCCCCCGGGCTGGGGGCTGGGGGCTGGGCCGCAGGCGGGCAGGGGTGGGGGGCGGCAGCCCCGTGGTCCCGGGTCTCCCTCTTTGTGTGAGTTTTCATCTCTGGGTTTGGTGGCGTGCCGGGAAGATGTCACTGTCTGATTTTTCCATTTCCTGCTCGTGATCTGATCGCGGTGCCCCCCACCCCCGCCATGGGGTTTGTCACATCGGGAACGATGCGCAGGATGCCATTGCTTTCAACTCTTTTTCCCGGGTTGTTAGCACGGAGCTGCCAGACGTGACTGCAGGCTCCCGCGGGCCAGGGAGGGCAGCCGCGTTCTTTTGTCTTCCTCCCGGCGCCTGGCGCTGCATCAGGCTCTCCTCTAGGTCTTACAGTCCGCGTTTAGTCTGGAAAATGAGCAGTCCAGTGCTTGTACCCCACAGCTGCAGGGTGACCGCAGGCTGTCTGCTTGTGTGTGTGTGGGCTGGGCTCCCTCTGCAGACATCCCTTCTGGCAGCCCCTCTGGCAGCCCCTCGGGGGTCTCTTGGACTGAGGGGATTTGTCAGGGAGGGTCCCAGGCTGTGTCCGGAGAGGGGGCACTGACCACTTGGGGTAAAGGCAGACCCTCAGGACGTAGGATCCTTGGAGACAAGCCAGACCCCCAACTGGGTGATGCTAAGGCCCCCGACCACCCCGACAGAGGGGCTGGTGGGGTTCCCGCGCTGCTCCCCGTCACGGTGCCCTGCTCTCTGTTCTGACGCCAGGTGGCCGTAAACGCCTGGGATGATGTGAAGAGACCCCGCTGTCCCAAAGAGTCTGGCCCTCACTGGCAGGCAGCCCCTGGGCTGGCGGGGCAGTTGGGGAGCCGGCCCTGTTGTTCAGAAGCCGCTGGGACAGCGCAGGGGCCCATCCGATCACCCTGACCCTCTGGATAGCCGTGACGGGCAGCCTGACCCTCTCCCCTGGCAACCACGAAATCTTCCAGAAGCCATCACTTAGCGTTGGCGCAGCCTCCCTAATGTCCTGCTGCTGTCCTTTGGCCCTTCCTCATGCCTCCCCCAAAGAATGCCCACCGTGCTCTTCCCCTGCCCCTGTTGACTTTGGAGATGGAAATGGTGGAGCTTTCTGGAAAACGGGCCTCCCGTCCTAGATGCCCCCGGAGTTGCCCATCTGTTCGGCAAAGGGCTGCTAAACACAGCTTCTCCAGGGACAAGGACAGGGGAGGCTTGTCAGAGAGCGGGGCCAGACCCCCAGGCCCGGGCTTGCCCAGCCCCGACGCAGGCCCTGTTGTCGTATTCACCTTTCTGTTGGAAACCCGGACTCTGTCTTCATGGGCAGGGCTGAACCCCACTATCAGGAGCATGCTTATCACCGTGGAAATGCCAGTCACGGTTCTAGCAAAGAGCGATTTCTCTTATTTATTAAGATCTAAAATAAAAACCAAATTAAAATGTTTTCCCACCGTATTTTTTTAAAATGCAAATTTAGACTACAAATACTAATTTCAAAATACAAGTTAAAAAATATCTTTCCCTGTTGTTTTCTTTTCCTGTCGCCACTGTCACAAATCACCATGGAGTCAGTGGTTCAAAACAGCACGATTCTCTCTGTTTCGCTGTGAACCTGAAACTGCCCTAAAAGAGCCCAAATTAGCCCCCCAGGCTCATTCCCTCGTGTTTGGAGGTCAGGAGTCCAACATGGGCCTTGCTGGGCTAAACCCAGGCGTGGGCTGGCCTGGCTCCCCCCACGGCTCAGGGCAGGCTTTCCCACCTGTTCCGGCCTCCAGAGGCAATGGCTCCAGCCTGTGGCTGGGTCTGTGGTCACATGGCCTCCCTCTGCCTCGCTCCCATGGAGACCCTATGGTGACACTGGGGCCCCCATCTCAGGGTCCTGCACTTAATCCCATCTGTGGAGCCCCTGCCACTCGGAAGAGAACATAGTCCCAGGTTCTGGGGAGCAGGACGTGGACACCTTGGGGGGCCACTGTTGAGCTTCTCACCCCTACACAGCCATGGGTGAAAGCGCCACTGAATGGCCCACCCGGGTGCTCTCTGGTGACCACAGGGCTGGCATCACCCACCCTTGCCTATGTCTCTGCTTAGTGTCCCCTGGGATTTTGCAGTTAGCCACGCCCAGCGTGTTCTTCCTCTCTGTGCCTTTTCTATCAGAAAAGTCTTGGATGATCTGAGTGCCACCTAGAAAAGCTAGAACCGGGATCCTTTGGGCCCATGGCCGCTCTCCCTGGAGCTGGGCCTGCTCCCCACGTCCTTCCTGCCGCTGAGGCCCTGCTGTCCCTGGATCTGGCCTGGTTTGCTTTCGGGGCACATGCGGGAGGCTCGGGGGGGGGGCGGGGTGCTGGGAGAGGAGGAGCCAGGAGCCAGAGGCCTGTGGGGGCCACCCCATCATTGCTTCGTGATCAGTGTGGACTCATTAAGTCACTGCTCGGCACAGGGGCCAGGGCTGTCTGCCCTGGGGGAGGGTGGGAAGGCGTGGCGTTGGTGGGAGGGCTGGCCTCATGCTTCCCCTGCGCCCCTCCTCAGAGGGAGGATGGGAGAGGTTCTAGGGCAAGTGAGTCACTGCCCTCCTCCGTGTCCCTTCCAAACTTTTTGGGGGACATGCGTCACAGACTCCATTATTGAGATGGATGGAATGAGTTTGCAATGAATATGGAAAATGAATAGCCAAGCTCCAAATGGGCTCGCCGGGAGAGTCATGGAGCCCACGGAGAGAGCATTAATGTGTTGGCGCGTTATTGGTGCTAATCACTTAAAATGTGCGCCTTTATTAGAGCTTTAATGAGAGCCACTTAAACTGTGCATTAAAAAGAGGGACTGCAGAGAGGCCGCGGGCCGGGCGGCAGGGGCTATAACTCTAATTGAAACGCTTTTAGCACTAAGGAAAGTTGCTGGATTCAGTAATCCCTCGCACTTTCTAGAACCTCGCAGTCACAGGCGTGTCCTTGCCGGCGGGCGTCCCAGCCCCCACCCCCGATACTGTTGCTTAGAAGCCCCCCCCCCCGCCGCCAGCAGGTGTGTGGGTGAGGCCCCGTGTCCGTACACAGCACATGCACACACACGCAAGTGTGCCCTCTAACTGGCCACCCGTTGGGGGTGTGCACTGGCCTGGAGTCTGGGGGCCCACGGTCTGGGTCGGCTCCCAGGAGGGTCCCCAGGCCGGTTGTGCCTCGGGGTCAGTCCTGGAGGGAGCTGGACCCTGGGAGAACAGGCCGCTGTTGTGGCACATCCCAGACCTTGCCGAGTTTGTGAGGCAGCCCTTCTTGGCCGCCTCTCAGTGATGGTTCAAGTGAGGAGCCCAGCACCTTTACGTGGAATCCCAGGGCTTTTTTTTTAACCTCAAGACCTACATGTCATTGGTGGGAGCTTCAGCCAACGAGTGAGTTAGTGAAACACATTTTCTGAGCAAGTAGAGCTGATGGTCTGCCTTCCGTGCACTTAACAAACATCGTCTTAAATGAGTTATGTGGTAAATGCTGTGAGACAGGAAACATAGCCCAACATGAACCACCTTGTGTGTAGCAGATGGTCAGGCCTGGCCGGGCTGCTCTGCCCCTTTCCTGCCACACTGCGTGCCTCGGACGGTCAGTCAGAAGGCGGAGCCTCGGCCTCTGCCTCCGCCTGCCGTGGGGACCGCGTGTGGGAAGAGCCCAGGGGAGCCCGTGCCCACACAGGGGGCTCCTCTCCCTCTTTGCTGCAGACTTGGTTGTACGGGGGGGGGGCACGGCTCACGGCTCCCTGGGTTGAGAGCATCTGTTCCCGTGTCTCGTCTCCCCGGCTGCACCATTGCCTTGGATGAGTGACTGGGCACATGCCACGTGGTGGGTTTTATGTGGGGGCTGCTCAGAGGGGAGTTCTGTGCAGCTGTGCTCTGGCCCGCACCCCAGCTGTGACTTTGGGGGTGCACTTTGTTGCACAGATGGCCCTGGCCCATCCTTGGCTCTGGGCTCACTAACCGGCAGGGTCCTGTGCTTTTTGTTCCCTTGGAGCCGCAGGCCTGATGGGAGGCAAACGCTGCCCAAAAGAGGCCTGCCCAGCTCTGGCCCGCCAGCCTGATGCCCGTCTTTTCTGCTCCAGGGTTCTTCCCCGGGAGCTCCCAGGGCTGTGATGCCTTCCTGCGGCACAAGATGACCCTCATCTCGCCCATCATCCTCAAGAAGTATGGGATCCCGTTCAGCCGGGTACGTAGGGGCTGCTGGGGCCCCGTCCTAGGGGACCACCAGTGTCCCAGGAAACTGGCTTCTTAAGGCTGCAGAAGGTCCTAGAACACTGGCAAGCCAGTGGGGAGGGCAGGTTGGCTGGGCAGTCAGCCTCCAGCTCCGCTCTGGTGGGGAGTGAGGATGGAAGAGGGGAGAGTCGGGTGGGGTCTTGCCTTATGTAACTCCCACTGCCTCCCACGCTCAGTCCCCTGCCCTGTGTGCCTGTTGGCTGCCCCCCCCGCCCCCGCCCTGCTGGGGCCACAGGACAACTGGGCAGGCCCCTCCGCCCCCCACTTCATCCTGATACCTGGCTGCACCCCATGGCCCACTGCAGACGTCCTTTGCGAGAATGAATACCTGTTTAGAAATGAAATATCTGGCTCTCGCACAGCGTGGAGACTGTGAACTCATTCAATTTGCTGCTCCAGGGAGTGCTCCGCTTGTCCCCGGGAAAGGCTGTGATGAATGAGGCCTGAAGCTGGGCAGTCAGGGTGGGGGGGGGGGGGGGTGGAAGGCCAGCACCCGGGTCTGGGCCTTCATCAGGGGCTCTGCCCTGGGGTGGGGCTCAGCAGGTATCCACCGCAGGCAATCCTTTCCCTGCAGACAAGCCTCCTGGATGGGAAGGTCTAGGCCTGTGTCCCCAGGGTGGTCTGGACCAGAGGGATGTGCCCAGAACCTTCGGAGAGGCCCGAGCAGACTCTGGGCTGGGTAGTGGGGGCAGGCCGGGGAGAGGAGGCCCCTCCTGGGATTCCGGTTCCTGAAGGTCTCCATACAAGAGCATTTGTCAGGTACAGGAGCAAGTTCTGCAATCAGATCCTCATGCCGCACTCTTGCCAGGAGTGTCAGCGAGTTGGAAATTGCTTCTGACATTTCAATCACATCGCCCACAGCATTAGTGCTCAGATCGGAGATTCGCTCTCACTGTCGGGCTCGTCCATCAGATAGCGGCACGTTCTGCCCTGAGAAACGCAGGTTTCCATGCCTCCCTCTTCTCTCCTCGTCTTGTGATTTGAACACCGCTGGTTACCAGGAACCTCACAGACAGACACGGCATTGCTCCCAGGAGTGAGAAGGACTTGCTTTCCTGTGGGTTGTGGAGAGCGTTCTCCCAGGCGGTGCTTTCTAGAGAGAGAGAGAGGCCGGTCAGAGGCGTCCCCTCCCCGGTGTCGCTCTCTGCGTGGTGTGCTTGGTGCACGAAATGCCTGAAAGCACCCGAAGGCGGTGGCCTCCTGGCCCCGGGGCAGCTGGCTCTCAGAGGCCGTGCTCCCCTGCCACCAGCCCGGCCCCTGGCTGCCCACAGGCCTGTGGGGCGAAGGCCGAGGCTGCGCCAGCAGCGAGCAGGGAGCAGCGTCAGGCTCCAGATGAATGCCCCATCTGGGTCCGTGTGGGTCCCCTCATCTGAATTCCTGGCAGCCCCGTGGGGAGTGACTCCCGCGCTCCACTTATAAATCTTTGTAATGGTATTTACTTCTAGAAGAAAAAGCAGATCAATAGCAGAGCTTTTTAATAATTAAAAGTGTGTATTTCTGTAATCTGCCATGGACTTCCTCATTTATCCTGCGAGTGCTGGGGAAGCAGCTGAATTCAGGCTTCCTCCATGACTGGCATGTGGGCTGACGTTCCCTGCTCTGCTTACGACTTTGCCGCACGGCCTATCCATCATCCCAAGTGCCTTCTAATTTATTGTCGGGGTAATGTGGATGGCGGTGACACGGAGGATGGACGCCGTGGGCTCGAGACGAAGCCACCAGGATGTCGGTTTTGTGACAGGAGCGTCATCTCCTTGCCGGCCTTACTGAGCACATCGGTTCGAGGCCTTAGTTTATGGAGGGGTTGTGCGGGAAGGCGAGGCACTGTGGTCTGCCCGAGCGGGGGCCGGAGGCACCTCCCCTCACACCCCGGCTCTCAGAGCTGGCCCCGCAGGGACCCCGCAGTGCGCCCAGGAGTCTCCCTGCTCATGCCGGGCCTCATGCCTGCCAGTACCTTGGTGGAGGGAGGGAGGGAAGGAGGGGAGCAGGCAAGCCGGCTTGGTGGGAGAGCTGGGTGATGCTGTCCAAGGTCAGCTCAAAAAGGATAAGAAAATCAGTAATTATATTTTCAAAGAAAAAAAATCCCTACATTTTAATTTTAATTGTATTTGCCACCCATTTCACACAGCCCGGTGCACGGAGCCAGCCCAGAGAATCCTTGCTGTGGCCGGGCGGGGGAGGGTTGCTGGCGCCTCTGGGACACTGAGTGTTCTCTCTCCACCCCAGTCTCCTGCCGTGCGTGGGCTTCATCCCCCACACGCCTGTCACTTGGACAGGAATTTTAAAATATAACTTAATGCACACTGACTTTCTTTGATTGGTGCAATTCATTACTTGAAAAGAAAAATATCTTCATGTTCTTAAGGACTGGCTTTTCTCCAGGCTGTGTCAGTTTTGATTGATTTTTGACTCCGTGGTTGGCTTTTGGAAGTCTCCCGCCCCCCCCAGCCCCCATGCCCCTACCCCCTCAGGGTCTGACTTCTTCTTGGTGACTTAAATGAATCCAGCAATTCCTGCTCATCTCTCTGGAGGAATAGATAAAGATTAGCAAGTCTGAGAACTCCTACAAAGCTACAGTAGAAAGATGAACAACCTGATAAATGGGGGCAAAGGAGACACTTTGCAAAAGGGGGTATAGGCACCTGTAGGCCTCAGAGAAAGGGGATCGAAACCATGAGATACTGGGGGCCACCTGGCAGAACACCCCCAAATGCCGGCAAGGAGGAAAGCGATGGGGACTCCCCACCACCACCAGCGTGGATGCTGAATGGGGGGGCCGTCGCAGAAAACTGCTGGGCAGGTTCTCGGGAACCCCTATGTGCCGCCGCCAGGAGACCCTGTAGGAATGCAGGCATGTGTCTGCAAGTAGACTGGCCCCCACTGCGTTGTCGAACACTCACCAGAGCCCCGCTCCAGAAACAGCCCACGGTCTGTCGGCAGAGGACGGGGAAGCACCCAGCAATACATCTACACGATGCGGTTCCCTTTAGGAGCGAGAAGGGACAGAGTACCTGAAGTCACACCGAGGGACAGAGGCAGACACAAGATCACAGTCCGTGTGAAGCCATTTCATGACACCCGGGAAAGAAACGTACTCCTCAGTGACAGAGGCACATCTCACGGTGGGGGGATTGCTGGGTGGGGGGCTGCCTGCGGTGGTCGGTTCCTGTTCGGGGCGCTGGTTACTCCCAACTCCAGATAACCTGTAATCTGTGGCTTCTACCGAATCTTCAGTCAAGGACTTCAGAGTTACTTTCTCGCCACCAGCCTCGGTTTCCACATCCGTGAATTGGGCCTCCAGCCCCACCTCTCGTGTTCTGGGACAGTGACCACTGTTAACTTGTTGTCCTTTTGGATCCCACATCTTCTAGAGTGCTTGGGTGAAGGGCTCAGTGCCATCCCGGGGGGAGGGAGAGAGGGGGTCCAGGGGGGAGGCTACAGCCCCCACCTTTGCCTCCAGGCCTTGGGGTGGAGGTTCCAGAAGCTTCCGTCTGGGCTCCTCGTGGGCTCTCTTCCCCGTAACTCACACCCAGCTCCTTGGTTTGGGGTCTCTGTTTTGGAGGCCGGATCAGACCATTTGAATAGGTCTGGAACCATCATCAGCTCATTTGACAGAGTTCTGACCTTGACATTGTGTCCTTATGACACGCTGTTTCTCCGGCCTCTTTGACTTGACTTGGAAGGAGCCACCTCCTGGGATATAAGGGACAGACCTGTGCTTACGGACAGCCAGAGGACTTAGGTCATTTTCCAGGAATGTTTTGTATGTGCAGCTAGACCTATTTTCCTCACAAGGGCAAGACCCTGTATTTAGAGCACGCCCAGCCCTGTGCTGGGGGGGTCTCTGTGGCTGATGCCAGTGGGGTCCACGCTTCCTCAGCAGCCCCTGCGCCGTATCTGAACATCCCACAGTGGACAGCAGGCGGGACACGGCCACCTGCCTCCAGGCCAGGAGAACCCCTCCCTCCCGAGAGTGCCTAGAGGCGTAGCACTCAACAGCCCCATGTGTCGGTCACCTTGGGGCCCTGCCCGGGGCTGGTCGCAGCTCTTGTCCATGCCACAGCCACACCTACTGCCCCGTGGGAAATCGGCTGGAGCCCTTGGACTTAGGCGGAGCCACCTTCCACTGGGCAGAAGTCCATTGGCTCCCGAAGTCAGGGCTCCCTGGCACTTGTTGGGAAATCCTTGAGTCCACGTGCCCCTGCTGTGCTGGCTGGTGGCTCCTGGTGGCGTCGGCCAGCAGCCTCTGCCTGCCCCGGGCCAGCCCTGCTTCCTGTAGGGGAGCCGCGTGGTAACCGCCATTCCTGACTCCAGGTGTTGCCCCTCACCCATTCACTCCTGCTCACCTGTCGGCCTTTTCCTCCTCAGATCACACAGGAGGCCGGGGAGTTCATGATCACATTTCCCTATGGCTACCATGCTGGATTCAATCACGGGTTCAACTGTGCAGAATCTACCAATTTCGCCACTCTGCGGTGGATTGATTATGGCAAGGTGGCCACTCAGGTAAGTGCCCACAGAGCCTGTGAAGGGGTCTAAACGGGGGGTCAGCCCCTCTCAGCCCGTTCCCTCGGACCAGGGTCTCTGTGGCCTCTGCTTAGACTCGACAGGGGCCTGGTCTCTCTGCCAGGGTCTGATTCTGGGATCCTCAGTTGAACTCATCCCCAGAACGTTCCTCACCTGGAACGAGCAGGGAGGAGGCATGGGGCCTGCGACCTGCCGCTGTGGGCTTTCCTTCCCCAGCAGACCCTGCTCTCTGGGCCCTGGTGTCTGGGCCGTCCATGGAGATCACTGAAGGGCAAGAGGACCCCTCTGATTTTTTTCCTGGAAATTTGCTGTTCTGGGTCTCAGAGGGCCTTGCTGCGAGGAGGGGCTGTTGGTGGGAACAGGCTTGTACCAAGGATCTTCCTCCGAGGACTGCCACCACGGCCCTGGGCCCCTATTCGGCCTCTGCAGAAGATGGCGCGCTCTTCCCGTCAGGCTGGGCTCAGCCTTTGGCCCAGGGTTTCAGCCCATCGGCCTCTCTCCACTGCAGATGGCCCAGTTACTCATGGGTGTCTCTCTAGCACTGGGGCACGAGGAACAGGAGAAACCCCTCCAGCAGGGCCAGTGCAGTGTGAAAACAGGGTGCTTCCCGTCAGCCTCCCAAGTTGGAGCCTCGGGGTTCCTCCGAGGAATTGCTTGGCCAGTTCCAAGTCAGCTCCCAGGACCGGGGCAGTTGGAAGGTTTCTCACAAGACCTAGCAGTGGTGACCCTGTGGGGATCAGCACGGAGGCCACTGGCCATGTGCGGGTGTCGTGGCCTTGAGCTGTGGGGGTAACACGCGCCATGTCCAAGGCTCGGTGCGTGACTAGCGACATGAAATATCGCGCAGATAATTGGTTCATGCTGGTTATGTAGGCGATGTTTTTGGATAGATTGGGTTAAACCAAATATATCATTAAAGTGAGTGTTGCCTGTTTCTTTTCACGTTTTGAGTGTGGAGACTGGACTGAAGATTACACAGGTGGCTTGCGTCCTGCCTGTGGCGGGCAGCGGGGGGCTAGACGGATGGGCTCATCTTTATGTTTCCACCTACTCACTTCTCTAGCTTCGCCGTTTTAGTGCAGTTCAGAGAAGGAACTGAGCTTTGCAGGAAAGAGACTGGAGAGGCACTCAGGGTTTAGGAGTGTCGGGATTGTTATCCTGGCGGGTGCTGTCTTTGGCAGAGACACTGGGCTTCGCTGAAAGAGGAGATGGGAGCATCAGGATTTTTCTTTTTCTTTCTTTCTTTTTTTTTAAAAAAGATTCTATTTATTTATTTCACAGAGAGAAATAACGAGAGCAGGAACACAAACAGAGGGAGAGGGAGAGGGAGAAGCAGGCTTCCCGCTGAGCAGGGAGCCCGATGTGGGGCTCGATCCCAGGACCCCGGGATCATGACCTGAGCTGAAGGCAGACGCTTAACGACTGAGCCACCCAGGCGCCCCAGGACTTTTTCTTTTGAGCTAAAGGAACGATGGAATGTCCTGGAGCGTGTGGTTTTGCTCACGTGACTGTGGGGCACCGTGGACGGTGAGACAGTGCACGGAGGATTCCATGGGGCCTGTGTGCGCCGAGAGCCCTGGCCGCGGTGGGAGCTGCGATTGAGTCGTAAGCTCTGGACAAGATTGTAGGCTTGTCCTGGAGGTGCCATCAGCGCCGGAACCGCAGTGGGGCCGGCAGGGACTGCCCAGATATTAAAAGCAATTTTGGGTTCAGCCATGTGTTCACAAACAAGTGACATTTGGGAAGTGCCGCCTTAGATTGGGCCTCCACGCTTACATTGCCAGGCGGTGTAGCGTGAAATTACTGAGTGAGTGGTGTGCAGCGCTCTGCGCAAGCTGGGGGGTTCAGGCGGGTGGCCCGGCCCCGTGCCGGGCTCCCACGTAGAGCCACCCCAGCTGCCCCGACCCCGGGGGCAGGAAGGCAAGGGTTTCAGCCGGGAGTGGCCATTGGCCATGGGGCGCCCGGCTGTGCAGTGCTGGATGGCAGGCTGCAGGCTTTTCGGCGGTGGAATGGGCCGGCGGTTTCTGCCTCTTCCAAGCTCTGCTGCCCAGTAACTAGTCGAGGCCGGAGACTCCGCGAAGGCACCTGGCCCCTCGCAGACGGCCACAGCTGAGGTGTGTCAGAGGCAGGACCCGGCAGGGGCAGGGAGTTGGTTGAGGTCCGGTGGTTCTCAGGGACCTGCTGGCTCCTTGGCCGCGTTTTAGGGAATGGAGAGTGGGGTGGGGGGAGGATCCCAGGATGCTTTTCCTAAGCAAGGGCTTCTCTCTGCCGGCCCGAGCTGCCCAACCCCATCTGTGCTTGGGCCAGTTCCTTCTGATACCTTCCTCGGAACCCAGGGAGAGCATCTCCACTTTCCAGATTTTATTATTTTTTTATTTTTTTAACAGATTTTTATTTATTTATTTGAGAGAGAGAGCATGAGCATGGGGGAGGGTCAGAGGGAGAAGCAGGCTCTCCGCTGAGCAGGGAGCCTGATGCGGGACTCGATCCCAGGATCCTGGGATCATGACTTGAGCTGAAGGCAGACGCTTAACGACTGAGCCACTCAGGAGCCCCAACCACTTTCCAGATTTTAGAGACTTTCAACTTGGTTCTTTACCTTCTTCAGGCTCTTAGGAAGTTCCCCCACCCCCCTTGTCCCTTTTCTGTCATGCTCCCTCTGTGCTGGCACATTAGATGCCAAATTCTTGCACTTGGCCGGCCTCTGTGAATTTCAGGTATTTGTGTTCTTTCTCCTTCTAGAGCAGAGGTCAGCAAACGGGGGCCCACAGGCCAAATTTGGCAGGCTATCTTTGTGTGGTCCGCAACCTGAGAATGATCTTTACATTTTTAAAGAGTTGTGCAAAAAATCGTAAGAAGAATATGCAACACGTCACTTAAGACGAAACTCAGATTTAATGTTGACCAAAGTTTTATTGGCACACAGCCATACCCATTCGTTGACAAGCGGTCTCTGGCTGCTTTTGCCTGCAACAGCGGAGTTGGGTAGTTGCTCCGGAGACCACCTGGCCTGCAAAACTGGAAAGTAGTTGCCTTTTTGCCATTGCCGAGGAAGCGTGCTGGAGGGTTGATGGCCTGGCAGACTCTAGCCTTTTCTGTCAGCCCTGGCTTGGGCCGGTCAGGGCTGACCAGTTGCCTCTTGTACCCTTTCCCAACCTTTTCCCAGGGTCTCTGGCATCAGAGGGGCTGCTCTTTCAAGCCCGTCAGCCCCCAGTCCTGACCCACACCCAGCGCCGTGGCTGCCGCCTCCGGAGCCTCTGGATGGGCCTGTGAGGGTGCTGGTAGCCGTGGTTGACCAGCAGGCCAGGCCAGATGCCAGCGTGCCGCTGCCATTCACCTGCAGACTTCCCACAGTGGAGCGGGAGGCCCAGGCCTTGGGCGCTGGTCTGCCCCCACGGGCCGGAGGAAGCCGCCGGGCTTGCAGCCTCTTACCAGAGCCCTCAGAGGGAGCTCCTTCGGGCCTTGCACCCAGGGTCCACTCTCTGGCCTGGCCTTCCTTTGACAGCATTCACACCAGAGCACTCCCGCCCCCCCACAGTCAGCAGGATGTGAGCTGCCCTGGGGTCGCTGTCGAGTTGACATGGTGTTTGGGTGTTTGCTCTCTTCCGTGGTTCTCCTTTCTGAGCCACTTCGTTGGCATTAACCTTCGTGACCCATCGGTGTGCAAGAGGAGAACCACATGGCTGCCTGTACCCTCCCAGGCCTGTTTCTTTGTCCCAGACTCCTGCCACAGTTTTTGGATCCCACAGCCCCACCCCCGAGGCACAGCAGCAGATGAAAACCCTGGCTTCCCGGGCTTCCCGTGTCCTGGGTGCAGCTCTGGGCCTCCATCTGGAGCAGAGGTGGATGGAGGGAAATTGCCCCCGGGTTTCACGTAATTAGGGAGAAGCCACCTGGGGGGCCAGGGTGAGCGGAGACCACTGAGAGTGCCCAAGGGTCAGGGCTGGGACTCCCAGAGGAGGAGGCAGTGATTACAGGGACATGGCGGGGGCGGGGGGGACTTCCTGCCAGCTCCACGCCCCCAGCAGGGGGAACAGAGGGGCCTGGCACTTTGAGTGACAAATGTGTAACCCCGCTATACGGGTGTGCGCGGTGGGGGGTGCCCAAACGTTGGTGGATGTTCGCTCTGTGTGGTGGAATTTGGGTCCCTTAAAAACATACACTATCGATACGTGTCTGTCTTTTTTACAACTTTCTTTAAAAAAAAAAACAAGTACAGCTTTTCAGGGGAGGAAGGAGCGATCTTGCCCTTCCTCGGGGCTTCTTCCGTAAATGCCCTGCAGCCCCCAGAGGGGGGGGAAGGTTTGGGCTGCTGTTGTTGTGGTGGGGGTGGTTTTGTTGGTTTGTTTTAGAAATGGGAATGATAAACCAAACCAGCCAACAGGCCCAAACCAGGTCACTCCCGCCCAGTTTCCGTTCTCCCCCACCACATCGGGACCAAGGGGAGCATAGAAAGTCACATGCAGACTCAGCCGCCTGAGCACTGCTGAGCACTTGGCTGTGTGCGTAGGAGGGACCTGGGAGTGAGCTGGGCCTCCAGGGAGAGGGTGAGAGGTGGAGCAGTGGGCAGAGGTCCAGGGACCCGAGGACACAACAGGGCCTGGGTGCAGAGCAAGTGTGGGGCCTGCCCAGCCCCTGGTCATGTGCTACTGCTGTTTTGTTTTGAGCCCTCAGCTGGATCCCTCCTCGGAGGGAGCACTCCTTTCCCCTGTGTCTCTCCCTACCTCTCTCCCTCCCGCTTTACTGGTGGCACCACCCTGCTTCCAGGTGACCCTGAACTTTGTGACCTTGCGAGGGCCAGAGAGGTCAAGTGACTTTGCCAAGGTCAGTGCAGCAAGGACCCAGAATGTCCACGCCCTGCCTGTCTCCCTCATCCCACTCGGAGGCAGGTGCCTGTTGAGAGTTCTAGAATATACCCTTTCCGCCCGCAGGTGTCTCCAGGCTGGCGGCCGTCTCCTGGCAGGGGTCCAGTGCTCAAC